GGAGGCCAGCGCCGGCCGCCCCCCTCACTTGTGCTGCTCCGCCTTTTGCTTCAGCTCGGCGATGTTGATGTTGCCCTTGGCATCCACGCCCACAGGAACGATGGTCATGCCCGCCTGGAAGGGGGGGAGGTGGGGGAGGGGGGCCAGGGGCAGGCCGCAGCACGGCTCGCTGGATGCGGCAGCAGGGAAGAAGAAACAACCAGGCAGCATGCTGTCGTGACACCCGTTGCCAAGCATCTCCACCAGCTCGTCCCCTGCCGGGCCCAGCCCAGCCAGCCCCAGCCCAGCCCAGCCCAGCAGCCCACGCCCGGCCAGCTGCCGCCAAGCGCGCCCCCTCCTCCCCCGCTCTCTCACCATCACAGCTGAGGCCGGGTTGGTGCCGTGGGCCGACACGGGAATGATGCACACGTCGCGGTGGTGGTCCCCGCGGGACTGGTGGTAGGCGCGGATGGCCATCAGGCCCGCATACTCGCCGCTGGCGCCTGCGGGAGGGCAGGGCAGGGGAAAGGGAGCGGAGCAGGCAGCGGGGGACACGTCGGCGACAGGGCACCACCACCTGCCAGCAGGCAGCGGGGGCCGCATCAGCCGCAGAGCACCACCACCGGCGCGGCTGACGCGCTGCCTGGTGTGGCGGGTGCCCGGCATCCACGGCCGGGATCAAGCCGGCTGCCGCAGGCGTACCTGAGTTGGGCTGCAGGCTGACGGCGTCAAAGCCGGTGATGGTGGCCAGCTGCTGTGCCAGATCCTGCACGCAGCACACGCGGGCGGCGGCGGCGAGCCAGAGGGCGTGAGGCGGGGCAGCAGGGGAGCCCAGCGCGAGCGCCCAGGCGCACTGCCGCCGGCCGCGCTCGCCACCTCCACGCCTCCCCGCCACCCGCCCTGCCACCCGTGATGCCGACGCCACAAACAGCAGCGCCGCGCCTGCGGTACCCGGGCCCCACCCCTGCCCCTGCCCCACCCCCCTGCTCACGTTGAACATCTCCTGGTAGCCTTGCACCTGGTCCATGGGCGCAAAGGGGTGGATGTTGGCCAGCTCGGGCCAGGTGATGGGGATCATCTCTGCGGGGGAGGGCAGGGCAGGCAGCGGGTGGGGGGCAAAACCGGGGGTTGCACGCTGAGCAGTGAGCACCAAGTGTACCTGAAAGCCAATGGTGCTGCCTGCCTGCTGCGGAATGGTGCGGGCCCTTCCTGGCAGGCTGCCGGGCCAGCCACAGCTTTGCCATGGCGGCGTCCCCCCCACCCCGCCCCACGCACCCGAGGTGGCATTAAGCTTCATGGTGCATGAGCCGAGGGCGATCATGGAGTGGCACAGAGACAGGTCTTTGTTCTCCAGGCGCTTCAGGTAGCGCAGCAGCTCGTGCTCTGCAAGCAGGGGGTATCCACAGGCGGGCAGGGGGGGCACCGGGGCGGCGGCCGGTGAGGGTGCGGCGGTGGGGTGCGGGCGGGCATTGCACCGGGCGACACGGTGGGGCAGCGGGGAGGCGCCACGCCCCACTGATCGCAGGCGACAGTCGCATGTGCGGCTTGCAGACTGGCGGCAGCGCCCCACCCAGGCGCAGCCGTTCCCCTCTACTCAGCCCCTTCCCCTTCCCCGCCCACCCACCGACGCAGGCAAAAACACACAGCCGGGCGGCTCACCGGTGTGGTAGGAGTTGAAGACGGGATGTGTGAGGAAGGGCGAGGAGCGCTCAAAGCCGGGCACGCCGGCCGCCACGCCCGGCGCCAGCCCCTCTGCGCTGAATCCGGGAGTCTTGCCGCCGTTGAGCACCGCCAGCAGGTGGTCGACGTCGGCCAGGGTGGTGGTCTCGTCCACTGAAATGGTGACGGTGGTGGCGTCCAGCGGGCGCAGGTTGAT